TAATAATATAAAAAATTAAAGTATGTAGTATTAGTTTGTTTGAACAGAAAAGCAGAGTCATTTCAGAATGAAGCATTGGTGCCCTTTTTATTAAACCACTGCAAAATATTTGAAGCGGCTCTTATTTGTGGTAATTTAGAAGGCAGACCATTTTCCTATGAAGTCCAGAGTTAGGGAACAGCTAGAAGGACCTAGGACATTAATATATATTGACTATACTTCATTACATTCAAAAACCTTTAAGAAACATTAAATGAACAGTTGGCCAATTTGCAAACAATAAAGAAAGTAATTATAATAAAAAATAAATCCAGTAATTTAATTTCTGTTTACAAGGCTGACAGAGTCAACTGCTTCCATACCCCCAAAGAGTCAGAGATACGGAACTCCACGAACAACAACACTTTCCAAAGCAAAGAACCTAGGTAGGTTAGTTCTCTCATGCTCTTGATTTGCTAGAATTGAGTTAGGCAACGGGCTGTCCAGCAGCAGTATATTTCTAGCATTTTGTAGAATTACTATGTGACTAAATATTCAATAGAGCGTGTGAACAAAGTTATAGATGCCGCTTTCAGATCCATGACTTCAGCTTTGCACTTTTTGCCCTTTCTGACATGCCAACCGGCACTCTAATGCAATACAGCCCTGCTTCCACCACAAAGCTGGTGACTATGTTCTAGAGGATAATAGAACAGCAGCTTAGAGGGAACCACGGTCTTTAGATGAAAAAGAAAAATGCTGAGAGACTGAAGTGGTGTAGGGCACTTGTCTTGCACACATTTGCTCATTTGACCTGGATTCGATCCTTGACATCCCATATGGCCTCCTGAGTACTGCAAGAAATGACTACTGAGTATAGAACCAGAAGTAACCACTGAGCATTGCTGGTGTGGCCCCCCAAAAATTCTGACAAGATATTTGTGGCTGTTCACATTGAGACTGTTTGCTAAGAGAAAAACTATCACACTTCTTTGTACTAGAAGCTATATGGCATATGTTTCAGTGGTCATACCATCACTAGTATATGACTCACATCAGAAAGCTGGTTAAAAGAAACATGAAAAGCTGAGGTACAATAAACAGAGATGAAGTTTTGTCCCTGGTTCTTGGTCTAGAGCTTCTAGAATGCTTGGAATTTCCTGAGTACTGAGCATGTTTTTCTTTTCTCATAACAAGCACTTTTTGACTATATCTATGATGTAATAGTGTTGGGATAGGGGTCCCTGGATAGTATAAGGATTGGGGCTGGTTAACAGAAAAACAAAACAAGGAGTTAAAAGATCAGAACGTTTGGTCCCACAATCCTTATTTGAAAAGGCTATTAGAGAATGGATCACAAAAACTATACAATAGTAAAATTTGAGGGACTTTTATATTGCTGAACCAAGGGCTGAGGGGATGGTATTCTCAGAGAGGACATAGAGTCCTTGGGCCCCCCTCCCCCCAACCCATTGACCTAAGAATGACTTCCTGAATTTAAGAGAACAGGACCTGTAATTTATAATACTGTTCACAGAGTTTCATGCACACAACATTCCAGCACATTCTCCACCAGAGTGTCTGCTTTCTCTACCACTGCCTCATTGCTCCTAGATTTTTGTCCTCTGTAATAATCTAATGCCATCAGTGTTCTCTGGGTTTTTTAGTTGATCTAATGGATTATGAAGCCTGAGGATGGTATCATAAGAACCCCTGAATTTATAATAGTTGGCAGGCGACTCCTTCCACTTGCAACAGATAATTGCAAATGGGGCAGACTTGTGGACTAAGCCTTATCCTGGGGGGTCAGGGAGAACTTTAGATACTTCAGTTGAATTAAATTGTGCCCCCAAATTGGAGATTAACATGAAAAATCCATAAATTTTTGGAGTCCAAGATTTTTCACTAGAAAAAAAGAAACTGCAGGGGCTACAGAAACAGAGCACTTGCCTTGCACCTGACCAACTTGGGTTTGATTCTTGACACCACTGAGCACAGTGCCCAGCATATGCCCTTAGAACATCCCCCTGGAATTCAGCACAAAAAACAAAGGGAAAAAAAGGAGGAAAAGGTGCTTCACAGAATGGAATAAACAGGGCTGACCCTAACCCTTGGCTTCATCTAAGCACTTCAGCTTGACTTGTACAACATGAATTTCTGCAGCTCAGAAATTGTGGTGCCTACCTCAGGGACCACTGTCCCACTTACAGTGAATAAGAACATCCAGGCTGCTCCACCAACACCTGAGGAAGTCATCACATAGGACTCTTCCAGCCTCAGAGATGTGGTTGAGAATAACACATAAGCAGGAGGATCCATTCTACAGAGATACCTGTCCATCTTGGAGAATTGCAAACTCATTTCCCCAAGCCAGTGGTGTGATGCCCATGACCTGTGTCAGGGTCATTTAAGAAAGAGTGGGGACTGATTGCATACCCAGAGAGCATTGGGTATGTAATATTCTGGCCCTTCCTATCTACCTGACCCCCTTGAGGAAGAATTTCATAATTCTGACAACTTCTTAGGTCTGTGAGCCTGAAACAAGCCCAAGCCAAGGATAATATAGACAGCATTAGACAGAATGAGAAACTGAAGCTTTGAGTCAGACTAAACCTGGTTTCTCCCCCCCCCCCCCACCATGCCAACTTCCTCCCTATTGATTTATTGCAATTTACCTGTGGGACAGACCTTTTAATATTTGAAAATGAGACCATATGTTCATGCCTTATTTCTTTTTGGGTCACAACTGGCGATGTACAGGGGTTACTAAGGGTTCATGCACTCAGGAATTACTCCTGGTGATGCTTGTGGGATCCTATGGGATGCTGGGAATCAAACCGGGGTCAACCACATGCAAGGCAAACATCCTATCTGCTGTGCTATTGCTCCAGCCCCTGTTCATGTTTTAAAAGTGAACGAAAGTTTTAAGTCAAGGATACTCCCAAATTACTATGTAGAGGAGAGAGAAACAAGACAGCATGTTTGAAAAGCATCACAGAGAATGATGTGGCTCAGACTTCTTTTACCCATCAAGCAGATCTTGTTCCACATGCTGGGGACCGGATATAACGGGACAGACTTTCTGGCACTCAGGTTGGTAACAACAGCCAAGAACCAGGGGAAACACTAACATCACAGCCATTTGTGACAACAAGAATATGTTGTGGCATAGCAACAGTCCAATTTTCATTATTCTGCCTTTTTCTCTTTTCAAAGGCAGAAAAACTAGAATTGAGTAAGCACCAGAGGTTCTGGATTTAGAGTGGGAAGGAGAAATCTGAGGAGTTGTCAGAGAGGTTCCAGCATAATGGGTGTTCCCAGACAGCTCCTGGGAACATTCCAAAGACAAGCTTTATGAAGCCATCTTCTGGCCTTACGAGACCGAAGCCAGACTTTCCTCTATATAAGGTACATAAATTCAATAAATAACTTGTCTATATGTGGCAAAAAGTTTTAAAAATAATATTCATCGATTTTCTCAAGTGGACCCAATAACATCTCCATTGTGAGACTTCTTGTTACTGTGTTCGGCATATTGAATACTCTTGGTAGCTTGCCAGGCTCTCCAAGAGGGGTGGAGGAATCGAACCCAGCTCGGCTGGGCTAGCTGCACACAAGGCAAATGCCCTACTGCTGTGCTATCTGTAGAAATACGGGCAATAGAAAGCAGGTAATTCACATAAAAAAGAAATACAAATTTTCACTTAGTATGTGAAACTACATTTACCCTTAGCAATAAGTCAAGATGTGTACATTTGAGGGGCCAGGGAGACAGCTCATAGAATGCATGAGTGGCATACACTGGGCCTCATGTTTGATCCCTGGCACTGCATGGCCTCCACAAACACCATCAGCTGTGGCTCTGGTGTCTCCAGTACTGCCAGGCCAGAGCACTGAGCCCTCAGTCCAGACTAGGGTGTGGCCCCAGGTTCCAAAGTAATGCTTGGGAGGTGCCCAACAACAACAAAAAAGAGTTTAAATTCAACAACTAAAATGTTGTTTAATACTTATCAGATTGGCAAAGGAATTATATTTACCTGGAAAGATTCTGGAGAAATATACACTCTCATTCAACAGTGATGGGATAACAACTATAGAAAATCTTTTAAGAGGATAGTTTAGAAATAGCTACAAACATTTAAAATGCATTTGCACATGAATATGTGTTCCAATTGTGCTTGGATATGATGTGCATGAAAGCATGTGATATCACTGAAAAGTCAGGAAGTTTATAGAACAACAACATTCTCAAGAACAAAAGGAGGAGAATGGAAGGAGAATAACATTTTTTGCAAAACGAGGGTATTAATGGAGTTTCACTTTTTTATAAGGACCTAAATTTGTGTGATCATATATAATTCTGTCACTAAATGTTTTAAATAGTACATTTTTTAATTTAAAAAAAATTTAAATATATGTGTGTGTGTGTTTCAGTATTTCACAGTAGCCCATGAAAAGGGCTTCTATAACCAGTGATTTGTAAGTACAGGATATTTTACATCCCAGAGAAGTAATGCATTAGGTTTGCTTTTAGCAATTCAAGATTAAAAATAAAATCTTAGGGGAAGAATTTTGAAATCAAAAAAAGAGGGAGTGAATTTGAAATAAAATTAATGAATTCCATAATTAGTTTTACCTTTTATTTTTTTTTTTGACAGAGACTGTTTTCAGTTTTTAAGTAAGCGTGCCAAGGAAATGACCTCCTCTCAACCCATACTAATGTACTTGTCCATTTTCAAACAGCTTTTATTCAGAATAACAGCAAGTCTTCCAAGAAATTAATTTTTTTAATTCCAGATTTTTAGGCAAAAAATACATCACTTAAAAGGTAAGAAGAGGAGCTGGGGATATGACTCAAGTGGCAGAGCATTTGCTCTGCCACTTACTCAGCATGGAAAGATCCCAACAGGCTCCTCCTCCCCACCTCAACAACCCACTCCCACCACCAAGTGTGGCCTAGTATCCCCTGAATTCCACCAGATTAGCCCATTTGAATGGAAAATATAAGGAGACATTCTTACTTGGTCCTCAAAAGATAGAGCCTGGGCAACATCTCTTGGAAATCCATCAATGACAATGCCCTCTTCATCAGGTATTTGCATCAATTTCTGTTTTATCTCTGTAATTGTTGTTTCCTTTCATAAAGAAAAAGTAAAAGAAAACAACCATGAAATTTAGCACTCTGTTTCTGGTGAGTATAACTGATATAAAAGTCTTTGCTGAACAAAAAGCACATTACATAGAAGTACCTGGGGGGCCAATTCTCCAGTTGTAATTATTTTAGCAATAAGACTCCATTTCCTATTGCTGCTGGTATTGTGGATCTTCTTTCTTAGTAATTCTCCCACGGAAATGTATTGGAATCCATAACGTTCTGCAATTTTCAAACTCTGAGTACCCTTTCCACTTCCTGGTCCGCCTATCATTTAAAAAACACAAAACTGTGACCTTCTGCTATAACAAGAAACTCCCTTTTAGACAACTGTTTTAACCTTGAGATGCAGTCTAACTCCTAGTAGCAGGGAGTAATGGTTCCACTTGGGGCATGCTTGATAGCAGTAAATGCAGAGCAAATGTAGATGTAGCCAAGATAAGGACATTTTCATAAACAGCTATATTAGATGAAAGTAATGTTTTGTCTCCCTACTTATTTTAGGAAATATCTATGTACTAACATCTTTAAAAGGGGCTGGAAAAATAGTACTGCTGGTAGGGCACTTGCCTTGCACCTGTAAGCCAAGGTCAATCCCTGGCACCACATATGGTACACGCACACACACACACACACAGACACACACACACACCACACCACACCACGCCACACCGGGAATAGCCAGAAGTGATCCATGAGTACAGAGCCAGGAATAAGACCCAAGCACTGCTGGGTGTGGCACCCAAACAAAAATGAAGCTTTTACTTTTTACCACTGAATGAAGTTTTTACTTTTTTACCATTGAATGAAGTTTTTACTTTTCTCTATAAACACTAAGCAATGTTTCCTTTTTAATCAAAGAGATATTTTTGGGATACGAAAGACAACGATCAAAATAGCTATAGTATAATTCCAATGAAGAGTTATTATTGTAGTATAATAGCCAGTGAAGAGTATTATTGTAGTATAATAGTCAGTGAAGAGTTAATGTGCAATATAATGAAATGAGTCATTATTTTAAAATCAAGGCACACCAATATTGATAGAACTTCTTGAAATCACTCTTTAAACTGTATCTACACTGGTTCTGGGAAACGTACACTGGTTGAGGGATGGGTGTTGGAACACTGTATGACTGAAACCTAATCAAAAATAGTTTTAAAAGAGTTGATCTCACAGTGATAACAATAATAAAATCTTTACAAAATAAAAGAATAAATAAACTACATCTGTTCATGCACATCTCTGCCTATCTTTTTTTTTTCTTTTTCACTTCAAAAGTGTCCCCTGGAGGCCATCAGTAGCAGCAGGCCCAAGCAATGAACTTCAAGTCAGACTTGCATGAGTGGGTCAAGTATCACATAGAGTGACCACATCTACCCTCTGAGTACTGCTGGGGAAGTCCCCATAAAAATTCAAAAGAAGTTAAATGCATAAAATGTGCAGAGTGAATGGAATAGTTCTTAAGCGAGAACAACTTCATGGAATTCATGAAAAACGAGTTTGTGATCATTTAGCACAAAACAATCAACATTTTCTAGCATAATTCAGTAGTAATCAGTAATTATTATTTATTTTTAATTGTATAAGTAATAAAAATAACTCTAAAATATATGCTTGGGGTTTTATTTCCAAGTTTGTGTTACTATTTTAGTTAATTTCTATTTCTAAACAACCTAGATGAATTGAAGTCTATTATCAGAACAAACTTGAAGCATCAGTCAGTCTATAATTACTTGTTGGCAATCATGAAAATAAAATATTTGCAAATATTTAAGTATGGGGCTGGAGCGATAGCACAGCGGGTAGGGCATTCGCCTTACACGCGGCCAACATGGCCGACCCGAGTTCGATTCCTCCGCCCCTCTCGGAGAGCCCGGCAAGCTACCGAGAGTATTCATATGCCAGACACAGTTACAACAAAGTCTCCAATGGAGACGTTACTGGGCCAGCTCGAGCAAATCGATGATCAACGGGAGGGCCTAATTTAAGTATGGATTATGGAATACAGGCACGATAATTTAAAAAGTTAATTTTAAAAAGTAGTGAACTATTTTGGTAGTGGTAGTTAAAACAGTTACAATTTATCAAACAATATTAAAAAATTCAACACAAAAGCTAATTGATGTTCCCCCTAGAAAATTAATTAAATCAATTTTTTTGGTAGGAGTACTGCTATTTACTCAGCCACTGATTAGCTGATTGAATTGGGCATGAACTCCACGTAAATCAATTTTTTGAGGAGTTGAAATCTTTTTTTTTTTTTTTTGATTTTTGGGCTACACCTGGCGATGCTCAGGGGTTACTCCTGACTTATGCACTCAGGAATTACTTCTGGAAATACTCAGAGGACCTTATGGGATGCTGGGAATCAAACCCGGGTCGACCACATGCAAGGCAAACACCCTACCCACTGAGTTATTGCTTCAGCCCTGAAATCATTTTTATATAGCTATCTAGCATATTAATTTTTCTGTTTATTCATTTTTGGTTTGGGGTCATACTCTGCAATGCTCAGATATTACTCCTGGCTCTGCACTCAGGAATTATTTCTGGCAGTACTCTGGGGAACATAAAGGATGCTGGGAGTCAAACCTGGGTTAGCTGCATGCAGAACAAGCACCCGATCCACTGTACTATAACTCAAGTCCATAATTTTATTTATCTTGTTGCAAATAAGTTATTTAAAAGTCTTGCATTGTTTTATTTCTGCAAGAAGAGTTCTGAGATAAACTTAATTGGCCAAGGGTCATTTCCACTAAAATATTTTATGTGTAAATTTTTAAAGATATTGTCCTAATCCCAGATAATGCATCTGATAATATCTGCCTTTTACTTTTTCATTGCCTAATAAAACAAAATTGGAATTTGTTAACAATCTCAATTCACTGTTGTCTGAGAAATTCTGATTCCTGTTCTAAAAGATTTAACATTATAAACTAATGCTATACTAAGTCTCTTATTTTGGGAGACAGAAATAAATATTTGTCCTAAATAAATGATTGTTATTTTTATTAGCATATATGGCAAATCATAAATTAGATTGAAGGGAAGCAACCTGACCTACTCCATCAACAAATTTAAAATGATTTGGTCCCTAGAGAGTAAAGGTTGTCTTTTCAAAGTGAAAGTCACAAACCATCAAATAGTGATTACTTTAAATTCCACAAAATTAAAAAAAAATAACCAAACACAACTAAGAAAATTATAGAGTATTTAAGGAAAATAATTTTTTGCCAACTAGTAGAGGCATAGCAGAAAAAAGAAAAACTGCAAGAACATAAGTTGGAAGTCACAATGAGCTTAATTTTGGTTTTATTTTACTTATCTTTAGTATAACTATTAGAACTCATCTAACTCTCAGATTTTATTACATTAATATAGCATCTATCTAGGCTAAGAGTGTCAACTTAAAATATCCTGGAGCTGAAGAGATAGTATAGCGGGTATGGTGTTTGCCTACCACACTGATGACCTGGGTTTAATCTGAGTACAGAGCCAGGAGTAGTACCTGAGCATTGCCAGGTGTGGGCCCCCGTCAGATAAAATTATATATTTCCAGAAGAAAATTTTTGCTTATCTGAATGTAGTGTGGATATCTTTTCCATCTCCTTTCCAAGTTGTAAGAGTTGTAAGTAACAGAAATTCATAAGGATCAGAGACAATTTGATTCTACAAGTCATAAAATTATCTCAATTTTTGTAAATAACCTTATAACCTTAATGCTTGGGTTTCCCCCTTCTTTTCCATCCCAATCCTCTGAAGATCATTTACACTAATTGATCCTGCAACATTCTTGTAGTATATAAAATGTTAGAACACGTTGTAGGAATCTATAATAAGAATCACACCCCTGAGAAGCAAATTAATGTTACTGGGTAAAAGAACTATGAACTGAGAGAATTATTAACATTTACATCTTCTCCAAATGTCTTAATTTATTAAAACAGCTTAATCATTGCATGTAAAATTTACAATGCCCCAAATTCATACTTGTGCTGTTTCACACAGGGGCAATTTGGAATTGTACTTTTTTTTCCTTTTTGAGTCACACCTGGTGATTCACAGGGGTTACCCCTGGCTCTGCACTCAGGAATCACTTGTGGCGGTGCTTGGGGGACCATATACAATGCTGGGAATCGAACCCTCGTCGGCCGCGTGCAAGGCAAACACCCTACCCACTATGCTATTTCTCCAGCCCCTGGCATTGTACCAATTACATCAAATCACTATCCATCCTGCTAAAAATCACTAATATTTTATTTAACAGCAACAAGAAAAATAAACATCCAGGACTATTTCACCATAAAATGGGTGATGTATATTGTCTTTTGTTATACTCTAATTAACCACCAATCTTTTACTAGTAAGTAGAAGAAGAAAAAAAAGTTTGAAGAATATTTCACCATACACTGGTGAATTAATTTTCAATTACTCTTCAAGTAAAAATCTATCTTTTAGGGCTGAAGAGCTAACTCAAAGGGCTGGAACTTATGTTTTGCATTCAGAAAGTGTGGGTTCAAACCCTGGTACCATAGTCCCCAAGCACTGCAGGGAGCAAATCCTGTTCAACGAGGAGAAGTAATCAACCCTGAACATGTCAAGATGTGGTCCCACAAACAAATAAGAATGTTAATAATAATGATAACAATAATTATCTCTAGGTATAGCATTTTTTCCTCTAGGCAATGAATACAAAATTTTAAACCTGAAAAAAATTCCATTTGAAGAATAAATACATATTTATGGCATCATAGTGGCCACCAGATGCTATAAGAAAATTTTCACTTTTAGAAATCTCATCTCTGGGGTCCAGAAAAATAGTACAGTGCGTAGACACTTGCCTTGATGTGGCTGAGCTGGGTTTGATTCTCAGCATCCCTTATGGTGCCCTGAGCCCACCAAGAGTGATCCTGAGTGCAGAGACAGGAGTAACCACTGAGCAATGCTGAGTATAACCCAAACACAAACAAAAATAAATCTGATTTCTGTATTCTCTTCCTGTTAATTGTGATTTCAAATAATTTATGTCTAAACAAATTTGCAATTTAAGTTTCATTACATTTAGATATGCACAAATGTCATTCCTTCAAGTCTGGGGATCTTGCTAAAGAAACTGGAGAGATGGTGCAAGGGTTAAGGTACTTGCCCTGCATGCAGCTGACTCCATCCCCGGCAGGGCATGTGGTCCCTCTCTGCCAGAAGTGACCCCTGAGCACAGAGCCAAGACTAGTCTTTGAGCATTACCAGGTATGGCCCAAATTCCACCACATGCCCAAAAGCATTATTATTGCTCAGTGTATTATATTAGTTCACAGGTTTTCCTCCTTAGTTACCAAACTCCTTAGTTTGAATGCTGTATGCATTTTGCCTTCTGTTAATTTCCCGGTTTAGAATAGCTCTGAACATCTCTCAGTCATCTCAGTGATTCTGACTCAAACTGGAAAGGGACGCTAGAGCTATTGCACAGTGGGCAGGGCACTTGCCTTGCACACAGCTGACCCGCATTTGATCCCTGGGATTCCAAATGGTCCCCTGGGCCCTCCAGAAATGATCCCTGAATGCAGAATTAAGAGTCAGCCCTGAGCACCCCTAGATATGCCACCCCTCCAAAAAACAAACAAAACAAATAAACAAAAACAACCCAAAACTGGAAAGGGAAATCATGACTATAACTGGTGTGTGTAACAGGTGTTTTCATAAATTTTAATTTTTTTTACATGTACAAAATCAGAATTTGCAAGAGGCATCAGATAATCATTCTGCAAAAATACTAACATCTAAAAATACCTATTCATTGGGAATAGCATCAGACTGAGTTTTTTATGACCAACAAAAGACTCAAAGTGGCCATTTAAAAAGTAACTATCAATTGTCACAGTTAGGAGGCATGCCTTGCATGAGGCTGACCCATTTGATCACTGGTACCATATGGACTGCTGAGCATCATAGGTGCAGCCTTAAAGGCTTCTAAGAGTTACCAGGTGTAGCCCTGTAGGCACAGGACACCACTGAGGTGGCCCAGGTAATCCCGAGCACGTCAGTTTCTAAGCAACATCTCATTCTCCAGCCCTTGAATTGAACCTTTGGCCTGGTTGGTTGAGACTTTGGCCTGGTTGGTTGGGGTGCTCCTAGGACAACTGATCATTTGGAAGATCTCTCTGAAATTCAGCTATTATTAAGATTCTGATGAAACTCAGGCTATTTGCTACATTACTAGAGTCAATTAACTAATATGATTGCAATTTATATTTTGTTTGTAGGTGCTAGTCTGCCTTTTGGGACATTAATTTTTACAAGTTTTTCCTGAACATGCATTTCTTTTTCCTCTGTAAAAATGAATACAAATTCAATTTGTCGGTTAAAAGCAAAACCACGCATTATAACTCGTAATGAATTCAGTTATCCATGTGAAATTTTAGAGAAATTTATTGCCACTGGGCAATAAATCATAAAGAGGAGATTACTTTCACTACAGAGAATTTCTGTGACATTATAATGAGATTCTGTAAAACTGCAATAAGCATTAGATTATATAACAAAATCATACCATTGTTCACACTTACTAAAAATACTTTTTTGTCATCATTATCCAACTAAGTATTTACAATGTGATACAAAATTCACATAATTTTTTGAAAAGCAGGTATATACAAAATTAGTAACAAAATAAAAATTTTTATTTTTATCTTCATACCTATGACAAGAATAATTTTTGGTCGTGGTCTAGAAGGGTCAAAAACTTCGTACTCTTCAATTAACTCTGCAGTCTCAGAAAGGTCTGTGTCACTTTCTATGGAGAATTGATGAATTGGAGGGAGCCGATCATATCGCCGATAGGGAAAGTTTGTATTTTCAGGCATTACTGCAAAAAAGTAAGATAACTTTGAAACGGGACAAGACGCACAATAAATTTTTTTCTTTCACTTAACAAATGAGTAGAAAAAAGTTCAGAACTGGGGTTAGACATAAAGTACAGTGAGTAAGTGCTCACCTTACCCACGCAGCTAACCTGGGTTCAATTCCCAGTGTTCCACACAATCTCTAAGCCCACTAGGATTGATTCCTGAGTGCAGAGTCAGAAGTTAGCGCTAAGCACTGCCAGATGTGGCCCACACTTTTAAAGTGAAATAATAAAAAATAAAGTTTAGAACTTCTGTTTTCAGCTGGAAGATTCACCTTTCAGCCATCAGGACTTTTCTCAAAAGCTCAGAGTTAACAATTTGGGCTTGATCTGAGGACATCATAGCACCTAGCACTTCCCCATCTGAAAGGCCTGCGACTCACTCACTGTCCCATTAGAATGTTAAGTTCCCTAACAGCAAGTAATCTTTTTTTACATGAAACTGTATTCTTGAGATCTGCAACAATGGTTGGGACTGTCAAAGTGCAATAAACATCTGTTTAATTAGAAATGAGATTAATAACAATCAACAGACAGTTTCCACTGGAGAAAAAAAACAGAGGATAAGATGGTAGACAGAGTGGGCAACAATGGGAAAACCTGTAATCTATCCAAAATCCAGTAGGAAGTGTTTGTAGCAGATAGAGAAATGACAACATGAAGACTAAGACGGATTTTGAGGAAAAGTAATCTGGCGGTGTTTGAAGTAGGTCTGAGAAAGAGGAGACTAGAAGCAGGAAGAGTAATCACCGGGAAGTTGTTGAAATGATCCTCTGGTGAAAACTGAAGACTCTGTTTGAGAGGTAATAGGGAAATGGAAATGAATGGCTGGATGAGAAGAGAGTGACTGAAGTGGGATACTAATCCAACTCAGAAAAGAAGTGAGGTGACAGTTAAAAAAAAACCTGCTATGTTTCAAATCCAAAAAGAATGAGGAACATATTATATTTCACAAAGATTCTTTCCATGCTATCTTCTCCAGAAATACTGAATTCCCCCTCTTTCCTGACATATCACAGCCTCTATGTCAGGAATTTCTGTTCTCTGTTCACTGGTGTACCTCAATCCCTATCCTTTTCAAGCTAACACCTACTCAGCTTTCTGTCCCGAAGTTATTAGCTTATCACTTCTTCCAGGAAGTCTTCCCTCTAAGTCAGCCTAAGGTAAAAAATCCATTTTACATATTTAAGATTTAACTTCATTGCCAGATTAAGCTTCATGAGCACAGACGTGTCACTATCACTGTCCTCCCATCGTTCATCCATTTGCTCGAGTGGGCCCAGTAACGTCTCCATTGGAGACTTTGTTGTTACTGTGATTGTCATATCGAATACGTCACGGGGAGCTTGCCAGGCTCTGCCGTGCGGGCGAGATACTCTCGGTAGCTTGCTGGGCTCTCCGAGAGGGGCGGAGGAATCGAACTCGGGTCGGCCATGTTGGCTGCGTGCAAGGCAAACGCCCTACCGCTGTGCTATCGCTAGACGTGATGTTTGTGTATTTATTTTTTGTGGCTATATCCTCAGTTCTGAGTGTCCAATACATACCAATACTCAGTAAACTGGTTGTTTTATTAACCAACTAGACACTGGCTGGCTTCAAGAAAATAGGGGAAAGAAAAGGGAGCACAGGTTTTGAAGCAAATATGATATGTTTATATTTATTTATTTAATTATTTATTTGCTTTTTGGGTCACACCCAGAAATGCTCAGGGGGATTACTCCTGGCTCTGCACTCAGAAATTATTCCTGGCAGTACTTGGAGGACCATATAGGTTGCTAGGGATCGAACCCAGGTCGGCCGCTTGCAAGGCAAACGTCCTATTCGCTATACTATCACTCTGGCCCCTGGTATGTTTATTTTAGACATGCTGCATATAAGATGACAATGAGGTAGTCTAGATGTGAAATTCCACTGTCAAAGAGAAATAAAATACTTATCCATGAGTAATTAATTATGTGCTCTAATGTATACATGGAGGAAAAACTGGATGTTCATCTCATATTTTTGCAAAATGGTTTAAAGAGCTGACAGACAATAATTCATTCTTGCTTTTATCATGGTTTTATTCAGAAGGTAATTTACTGAGATGATTAAAAGGCTTTATTTCAAGGAATATTTTTATGGTAATTATACAATAGCACAGTGTACAATTTTTCAGCAAAAAAATGAATGCATCATTCTTTATTTCTGAAAATAACAAGAATGCTCTAAATTACTGGGAAGTGAGCAAATTTATTAAATTTAACAACCTATTCCACAAATTGCAGCTGAAACCTACAAAGCACAAATGTGTAAAGCATTTCACAAAATGAAATTAGGATGGATCCGTTTAAAAATCATTTTTATCTTTTAGCATTCTAGGTCACTGTTACTCATCCTTTCTCTAGACATTGCCATCTATTCTCATCTTGTTTCCTTTCTCAGCCGCCTGTCCTGCCAATGGGTCTCTAAGTCTCATGTTATGAACCCCAGTTTACATTATTTGCACCTCTTGGAATATCCCTTCATCCCATATGGGGTCAAATGACCTTTGACAAAGAAATGCTGCCCTAGATGTAGGACAATGATATATAACAGTCTTGTCACCAAGAGATATCGAAAAGTTATATTTAATAATTAACTGGAAAATCTCTGAGTGGGAATTCTGGTCAACTCTTGGTAGGTATGGAGATGTTAAAATTAACAAGCAATTATAATTCTAATGAAAATTAAAACTATGTTTTCCATTCCTATTTTGGTTTATTAGGCTAAATCATGCATTCTAGACTGGTTAGGTGTCTCTGGGCCCAATAAAGCCTCATAAATATTATTTAATTCAGCCAAACATTTTCCCCAAATCTGCACTTGAACTGTTTTTAGATGATGACCATTCTCCCAAGTTCTACCCTCTAGGTTGATCAAAGTTCTGTCTGTAAACACACTCGAGCTGCCTGGCTTCTAGGTATAATCAGATCAAGAAATTATAAATCTATCACACAGAGAATCATTTTATTGCAAAATAGTCATTTACCTTTTCTGCCTAGTTGAGATTAGCTTAGATTTAAAAGAAAGAATATAAAAATATCACAGACTAAATACAGTAATATCAGAGATTTTCTTAAGCTTTAAGATTTAGAAAGCAGTTGTGGGTATGTATCTCATTTGATATAACAAAAACATGAAGTGTTTATTTAACAGTGATCCAGGTTAAAACAGTGTAACACTACCTGCAAAAGTAAGCCATTTCAAGAACATGTGTGAATTGCATGAAGCCATAAAAGTATGATTTTGTGGGGCTGAGAAGACAGCTCATGTAGCAGAGCACATACCTAGCATGTTTCATCCTGAGTTTGATTCTCTGTCACTGCATAGTCCCCTGAGTAAGGCAGGGAGCAGTCCTATTGTCTCCTGAGTTCTGCAGGGTGTGACCCCTGTTAAAAAGCTAATGGGTTAGCATGATACTTCATCTGGGGAACATAAAGTAACAAAATAAGAGACTAACACCCAAGAATAGCCGAGATAAGTACCAGGAGGATTACTCCATGGCTTAGAGGCCAGCCTCACATGCTAGGGGAAAAGGCAGCTCAGATAGAGAAGGAAGCACCAAATAAAGGGTGTTTGGAAGTTCCTCTCAGGATGGGAGATGGGTGATGAGAGTAAACTATAGACCGAACATGATTGTCAACCAATGTCTCTTTTGCAAACCACAGCACTCAAAAGGAGAGAGATAACAAGGGGGAATGCCCTGCCACAGAGGTAGGGTGGGATGGAGAGGATGGGGGGTGGGAGGGATACTGGGATCAGTGGTGGTGGAGAATGGGCACTGGTGGAGGGATGGGTATTTGATCATTGTATAACTGAAACCCAAGCACAAAAATTTGTAAGTCTACAATTGTACCACATGGTGTTTCACTAATAAAAATTTAAGGAAAAACAAAAGCTAATGGGGAGCTGAAGTGATAGCACAGCGAGTAGGGCATTTGCCTTAGAGGCAGTCAACCCGGGTTCAATCCCTGGCATCCCATATGGTCCCCCGAGCACCACCAGGAGTTATTCCTGAATGTAGAACATCGCTGGGTGTGATCACAAAGCTAGCACTGTAAGCACTGTAGCACTGTCCTCCCATTGTTCATTGATTTGCTTGAGTGGGCACCAGTAACATCTCCATTGTGAGACTTGTTACAGTTTTAGGTATATCTAATATGTCATGGGTAGTTTGCCTGGCTTTGCTGCTCGGGCAGGATACTCTCCATAGCTTGCCAGGCTCTTGGAGAGGGGCGGAAGAATCGAACCTGGTCGGCTGCTGGCAAGGCAAATGCCCTACCTGCTATTGCTCCAGCCCAACCCCCAAATAATAAATAAATAAATAAATATTTTTTTAAAATGATGTTTTGACCATAGCAGTAATTTCCTAAGTGATTATTGCAGCAAGTAACTGGTTACATATATTCTCTCACATGCCCAAGTCTGAATTACCTAGCAATTCCTATGTGGATAGGGAAGGAATCTTCTCTTCTCTCAAGGTGTTTTGTGGAAATGTTTCTGCTTGTCTTCTTTAAAATTAACACAATCTGACTCCCCCCCCACACACACTGCATTTAAATAAAATCTAAGTGGGTCATGACTAATTAAAACAAAGATTTATTTTCCCTTTGTATTTATTACAAATAAAATTACTTACACTTCAAATCCTTACTATATAGCTAAAACTTTTTATGGCAGATTTTTTAAAGTTGCCATTTTAAGTAAAATTTGAAAATATGGTGATCTTTGCCACTGGGACAGAATTGATTTAGTATCCCTGACTGGAACTGATTCCATTTTATATTTACCATTATACTTCTCAATTCTATCTAAAGTCTCAAGGCTGAGTGAATTGACTCACTTATTTTAGTAATTACATTTTTTAGGGAGCTATCAGAATACCATGAATCTCCTCCAGCAAACTCTTATTTTTTGTTATAAACTATTCCTCAAATTATTAAACAAGTTCATGTCTTCTACTTTTTTTATAGCACCCAGATGTCTAATCTCATTTAGTGCATTCAGCAGTTAATAAATCCTTGTCAATTAACTAGTATAAACTTTTAGTGCATTTCTGCAGATTCATTAAATAATTTTGAATTTGGAAGCATCTTGAAATTGTCACATCTTTCCAGCTAATAAGAACATGTTGAATTATTACATAATCATTACTAATTTTTATTTGCCGTTGACTTACTTGGGAAAGCCTTACTTGCAATGAAAAAAATAGTGACATCAGTAATGCACAATTTCATTATGCCTTTAGTGAAGCATTGAGCAAGCATATGTAATCTTGTTTGTTTTATCACAGAGGTGATTAGAATTAGTAGCAGAAAGCAAGTAATCATATTTTAAATCCAAATATCCTTCCAGAGCATTTGGAAACCAAGTGAATTAGATCACTGCCTACAGGCAATAGGGGACATCAGCATTAGAACTGTGGCACGATTAGAAATGATTATTCTTCAAGTACATTACCATTTCTGAGAAAGGATCTCCGTGACTGTCCTCCATTGAGTGGAGGAAGGATCTTCTTTTCCTGGCTGACAAATGTGTCCCATTTCACCTTGTCACAACCACCTAATTCCTTTACTTTCTGTAAACAACTTTCCAAGTACTCTACTGGATCTTCTGGCTTAGAGCACATCAGTCCATTCAAAAGGCTCTGAAACACAACAAAATATGTCCAGTTATACTTCGTTTTCAAACTGCATTTGTTAAGACAGGATATGGCCATTTTTAGAAGAGAGACGTGCTGCCTACAACACTAACAAGCACCTATGTATGGTCAACTTGAACTTCAGTTGCTCTTTCCATTAGTCATTTAATAAACACTTGAAGCTGTGACCTGGCTAAGATATCCCCTGAAATACTTGATCAATTAGTTTTTAGCTAAGTAACCTGTGCCTTATAAGCAATTCAGGAGACTATACCCTTTTAAATGGAAATAAAATAAATAACAGAATGTAAAAAATTGCCCCAGTCATTATTTCTCTCATTCCTATCTATGCATAAAGTTTTCAAGTTGCAGTTACTTCATCTGTATAATGGAAGTAATAAAATTTTGGAAGGTTCCTTAAGTATTCACCATTCACGATCATGATCACAACCATCCTGTTATTCGTTGATTGCCTTGAGCAGGCCCCAGTAACGTCTCCTTCGTCCTAGCCCTGAGATTTTTTAAAAAGTGCCATATACAAGGCTCTTTCAGAGTTAGGAGAATGAGACCCATCATTGTTACTGGCATTTGGCATATTGGGTACGCCACGGGGAGTTTGCCAGACTCTGCCGTGGGCTGTTTACATTCGGTAGCCTGCCAGCTTGTCCAAAGTAAGAATGAGATAATATGTTGCTTCTGGGAGCTGGGTTTTATAGTCTCTGGGTCTTGGCCATTGATGGGATTACACGGCTCCAGGGGGCCAGTTAGTGGGTGTGACCCCTGCCTACTGGAAGTTGGAGGATCTGGGTGGAGGATGCTCAGCCCCGATCCAAGCAGGCTTGGAGATCTCAGCCCCGGGACCCGCATGCCTTTGTTCCTCTGCCGGTACTTTCATGCGTGTGGAGAGTGGTCTCAGCATGGTGGTGGCTGGTTCTGGAGGTCTTTGACTGCCGGAGCCCTGGTCGGGGCAGGGAGGGAAACTCAACCCGCTCCCTTTCAAGGGGCCCCGGCGAGGACAGCCAGGCATGGGGGCAGGAGACTCTGCGCTGTTCTCTTCCAGGAGCTGGGTTTTATAGTTCTCTGGGTCTTGGCCGTTGATGGGATTACACTTAATTCACCATTCAAGTAATTGTAAAATGCATATTAAGAATTTGACACAGAGTCAGTGTCAAGTTCTAAGTGTTGTTGCTGTGTTGACTAGTTGCTATTATTAGAAAGTTTTCCCTAAAACCCCCAAACTGACTTGTGGACCACTCCTTCACTATCCTTGGTACCCCAGTATAAAATATTGTCAGATTCAGCTTATGTGACAGCCAAAAATTCTATAAACTCTTTACCAATATACCAATAATGTAGGTCTTATTCATATCTTCTGTCCCTTACACTTTTCCTGAGACACAGAAGTGTATATTAAACTATCTTTACTTATTTATGTATTACTGGGAAGTGCTGTACTTGATTGTGTTCAGGAACTACTCCTGGCTCAGTGCTCTGGGGACCATGCAGTTCCCAGTAATGTACTCCTATACTCAAAGCATGCATTACATGCCATTAAGCTATCTTCTCAGCCCCAATCTACTTTATTTATTTATTTTCTTTTTGGGCCATACCCGGCGATGCACAGGGGTTACTCCTGGCTTATGCACTCAGGAATTACTCCTGGCAGTGCTCGGGGGACCATATGGGATGCTAGGAATCAAACCCGGGTCAGCCGCATGTGAGGCAAACAGCCTACGCAATGTGCTATTGCTCCAGCCCCTCCCAAGCTAATTTAAATACGGGAAAAATCATTCAAACAAGAAATACGAGACAACAATTACTATTTGATATATAGGAGTTATCATAATACCCACTGAGGTTCAGGAGGAACAACAACAACAAAAAAGCAGGATCCCTATTGCAGTTTCTGGTGACTGATGTTACATAGACTCATTTGTAAAATCGGTACAAATTTGGAAAAGCTGACTTCTGGGAACTAGACTGAGGTGCAAAACATTTTTCTTTAGAGAGTTACATAGAAAAATCACTGGGGATTAGCAGTTCTCACTGGGTACATTTGTTCTTTGAAATCTTAAATAACGTGGGTTAGAGTGTTCAATCAGAAGAGTTTGATTCTAGGAGTGGGAAACATTAAGTTGTGCCTTCACACTCAGTTTGTTTTTTTAATATTTGTATAAGTAAAGACCACACACACACACACACACACACACACACACACACACACGCATGTGCACACACACACACATGCATGCGTGCACGTACAATGCCTCATGTTTTTCCTATGTTAGATAATACAGCTAGTACTAGAATAAGACTTCCTGTGTGTCTTTCCATTGCTTGTCCATACACTTTCCTTTTTACGTGGCATTTTCATCTCCTTTTTTATAGATTAGGAAATCCAGGCTTGGAGGGGACAGTGAATTGATCAAGATTACTCACAGATAGAAAGTGAAAAGGCTGAGAATTACAATCCTATGTTTCTAATTTTAAAATCCACATATTCTGCTCCACAGCTTGAAAAATTATGAGATAAAAAGAAAACGCCAGATAATATATGTCCCACACATATATAGTCCACTGCAATCTGAATCACTCTTAATCAGGGCTTCTTAAATTTTTTTCTACACAGTAAACCTTTATTTTGCTGGAAAAAAATGCAACTCCGGTGAACATGCCAGAAACACCTTGGATTCACTACAACAATTGAATTAATTTTTTGGTCAGCGTGTGATCAGAAACCTTTCACTCTTGACCTCCACGTTCAGTTATATGACCTCTTTGGGGTCACAATTTAAGAAGCTAGATTCTAGATTAGTTTTTAACTCCTTACTATTCCCTGAAAGGGTAAAAAAAATCAATGACTTTAATTTTACTGGAAAAAATTTAAGTTCCTAGCCACTCTAAACAATAAGGGACTCCCCAAGGTTACTGGCCCCAGAAGTGGGTAATGACTTCCCCTTTGTGCATCATTTGAATCCTTTCTTTGAGCAGTCAGGCACCATCAGTGATTAAAGACAGCCAATGGACAGTATTACTCAGTTTTTTAATTATTTTTTGAGAACTAAATGATCTACTATGACTTTTACCAGTATATGAATTTATTGCTAAGTCTCTGATTTCAGATACAAGATCAGAAAATACGTATACCTCTAGATTCAAGATCTCACACCAAAGTCAAAGGAAAGTAATTTTTTAAAATGTAAAAAGATGGTAGGGTACTCGCCTTGCACTTAGCTGACCAGAATTCTATTCCCAGTACTCCATATAGTTCCTCCAGTGCCTCCAGGAGTGACCGTTAGTTAGAGCCAGGGATGAGTAACAAGCACAGCTAGTTGTGACTCCCAAACCAAAAACTAAATAAAATCTAATCTAAAAGTAGAAATATATTTCATATCTGAACATAGCAGAGAGATAACATTTGGCCTATGTGATATGTCAAGTTAGAAAGAAATATAAAAACGACACTTAAAATACACCTAGTGATAATATGATACATTAGGGTCAAAAATCATTTGCTTGGTCTATAATGGTGTCAACATCCACAATCCAGGTTTGATTTAATGTTTGTATTAATGCTTAATTTAATTGTTAAACTTGGAATACCAAAAAACTTTGCTTTGAGAAAAAATTTCAGTCTGTAAACTTAGTGCAGTGAGTTTTACAGTGTATACTCACCACATGGAGAACTACCAGGTTTTAGTTCCCTCTGTGCAGTGCACAACACAGATTCTTACTGAAACGATGAAACTTTTGGAGGCCTCAGCAGTAGCCTTCCATTTTCCCATAGTCCTGGGTTGCATTTAAGTGTTCTGAGTTATTGCATTTCCTAAGGGAGCTGATTTTCTTTCCTGGGTGTGCCCTATTTTGAAATGTCCTATTCACAAACAAAGAAAAACTAATGAAATGTAAAAACACTGAGGGTGGGGTTGGGGTTAGGAGAGACTGCCATCACTCATTTGCATACGCTGTACCCATTTTTCTGAACTACCAAAATTCTTTCTCTGCGGGAAAACATCACCCACATTTAGAAAGCAAAAAAAAAAAGATGTACCATCAAGTGATAATTTGCAATCAGGTGACCCTCCTAAAGATGTTTCTTAGAATTCTTTTAGTAGAAATGAAATTAACCTCAGTAAGAGTTTTATGACAAGAATCTGCAGTTCTTTATCTACAGAATTACTTTTCTGGAAGGTAAAAAAAAATAATAATAACAGAAAAACTCTTCAGATCATCACCACCTAATTATTTTTAATGCACAAGTATCATACTTTCTAGATTTGGGCTTCAAAGAACAGGCTCAACGGATCATATAAGTGGAAATTTTGGCTTCTGGAAGACTCAACATCATGGCTTATAGAGGTGAGGGGGAAAAACATTTTTAATTCAGACAGCCCATTTTAAGATTAACTTGGACAAATTTTTTTAAGGGTGGGGATAAATTAATTTTCCTAAGAGTTATTCTAAAATTCTTTTAGAACAAAAGTCAGCTCTCAAAACAAACAAACAAACAAAAAACGGGCCAAAGAATATAATCAATCATCTTTCAGCTATTGGGGCTGAGGTTGTAGGGAGGGGCGGTTGTAGAGAATGAATGAAATTGCCCTCGCAGAGCTCTATGAAGCTTGGCTCACTTCCTTTTTTTTTTTTTTTCCCCTAACAAACCAAGCAAAAGCACCTCGGATTCAGGAATGTTTTAATATTCAAATATGGAGAGACGGAAAGCAAACAGACCGCAACGGAGGCTTGTGGTTTCGAACTGAACAAGGTTGCTTTAGACCATCCTAGTGGACTCTCCCACCCAGGCCGGACGTCCCCACCCCAGGGCCTCTGGTGCAGCAGCTGCGGCGCTGCTGTCTGACCCGAGCAACAGGAGCCGCGCGGCGGCGGCGAGGCTAGGACGGGGAACCGTCCCTTCCGAAGCCCTGGGAAAACGTGCTCAGGAGTTCAACATTCGCTGAAAGCGCTGAGCCGGGCAGGGAAGTAGCTTCCACCCTAGAGGGTTCTGATTTCTTGATGGTATTCCCCGATCCGCACCCTTCACCCCGCGCTACCTTCCGCATCTTCATCATTGCCCACAGTCCCCCTTTACCCCCGCATTGCGGGGGGCGAGGGGAGTCCTAGTCTCCCACCGAGGGTCTAGCACTCCAGGTCCTTCGGGATCTATTCCAGACCCTTCGGGATCCTAGTCTTGGCTCACTCGGGGCGGTACCGACGCACCCAACCTGGCCAGGCGCGCGCCTTGGACAGTGCGGTCGGCTGCGGTGTGCCGGCCACCCCCGAGTGTCCACCTCCGAGATACGCGCACGGAGCACCCTGAAAGTTGCCCTGCGAACTGCGGGCTCCCGAGACTTAGCCTTCGGGGCGCAGGAAAGGCGGTTGCCCCCCCGCGATCGGACGAGGGAGGCTCCCACGAACCCCCTTCACTTCCGCGCCCCGCGTCTGCACCGTGGGACGGGGCGCGGCTGGCTGGGTACCAAGGGCCCCAAAGCCGTCCTCCTCCCTACCCCACCCCACACTCCCCCCACCTCCTCCGGTCCCCTCTGCCAGCCCTAGCGCCCCCTACCTCGAAGAGCTGAGGGATTTCCCTCCGGGCCAGATATTCCTTGGCCTCGTTGGTGTTCATGGCTGTGCGGTGCGTGCCCCGGGCGGGGAGACTTCTCGGCTGCAGCAAGCGGGACCCGAGCTGGAGGGGGCGGGCGCCGAGCCCCAGTGCAGCCTCGCAAGCTCAAGCGCTCGGCCGGCCGCGGCCAGCACCCGCGGGCACCTCTCCCGGGACCGAGGTCGCCGCCGCGCCGGTCCCCGTGCCGGTGCTGCTGCGGGCTCCGCGCCGCGGTTTCCCCGGCTCCCCCGCGGCCGAGGGAGGGGACAGGGAAGGTGGAGGGAGGACCGGGAGGAGGACGCCCAGCGGCACAACGCGCTCCGCGCTCTGCGCCTCCCGAGCCCGGGCTGCGGCGGTGGCGGCCAGTCACGCTGCGCGGGCGGGCGCGGGGTGCGTGGGTGGGGACGGGCGCGCGCGGGGGGCCAGCGGTCACACCCCTTCGTGCCGCACCACCGCCCCAGCGCGGCACTGCGCCTCGCTGCCCGCACGGACCAGTCGATGGGCAGACACCCCGCTAGGTGGCCAAGGTGTGTGTGTGTGTGTGTGTGTGTGTGTGTGTGTGTGTGTGTGTGTGTGTGTGTTGGGGGCTAGGGGTGTCCTCCTCTAGAAGCCGCGACCTTTTCACTTCTCCAGACGTTTTGCACGCGCGCGCGTGCACACACGCACACATTCGCGCGTGCATGCACACTCCGGAGTCCCTATGGAGCTCCGGGAAAGACACCTAATTGTCCCAGAATTTATCTCGTATTGCCATCTTGCAGAGAAAAGGCTCCGGGGGCTTGGAGCAAAGCGGGTTCAGAGTGTGGGACCGATCCCCTTCAAAATTATTTTGTAGACCTCGTTTATTTCTATCCTTCTGGAAAGTTTGGCTGTAGCGGTTTTTGCATATCTTCTTAGCCAGTGTCACAAATCCTAACAGTTTTCAGTGTAACGAAGGCATTGTTCTTTCACTTATGAAAATAGTCACTAGTTACTGATCTCATTAGAGAAGAATGGGAGGAGAAGAGGGTCACGGGGAGCTGGAGTCCACTTAAATTGGAAAAGGTCTTGGTAGTTGAGGTTTGTGTCCTCTTAGATCTGAAGAAAGTGCAGTCAAGTTGTCCGAAGCCGTCCCACATCCTGAGTACTTGTGGGTGAGTGTTCCTTGGGTGCTGGAAGACAGAGACACGGGTAGGGTCTTTCCCTTTCCTCAGGTGGCATTTCCATCTTAACATATCTTTTCCTTGCCAGTTTGAAAGATTGCCTTGGCCACTCTGAGTTTCTGATTTCTAACTGCAGATAAGGTGGGCCATGTAAAGGTGTAGTAGGAGAAAAAAGGACTCTCTGATAGGCGTTGACACCAGTGTCTAGCCTAGGAAAGCCACATCACAGCAACCAACCACATCGTAAAACTGGAGCTCTACTTCATGCTTATACATATTTTGGGGGGGGGGATTCTATTTTTGTTCTACAAACTACTGCTATTCAAGCATTAAGTATAGCTGCATATTAATTGTACCCAGGGCTCCAGGAACTCAAGAAACCATTCCGGTTTTAAAAATGAACAAAGTTTTTAGGGCTCTTGTGTCATAAGGTGACTCTAGTTAGGTGGTCTCATTTGTGGAAATTGGTTTCTGCCCTCAGAATATGCCCTGTCTTTTACAGTCTTACTTCTGACATCTTATTTATGAGAGCTTATATTTGCAGCAATTGGAAAATTATTGCCTCTCCCTGTGCAACAATGCTTGAAAAGTGCCAGGATCCAGAATAAGAAAACTAACTGTGAGCAGCAGAGTTGATGAGATGCACCTAGTATGGAAAGGGTCACTTTCTGCAGAAAGTTTGTATTCCTACAAACTAACAAATCAAGATAATTACTGTATATCTGGGGTAGCATCCCTTTTCTTCCTATATTGGGAGAGTGAGCTAGGTTCTGAGAAACAGTAGTGAATAAGGAATGATCCCTTTGTCAAGGATCTCACATTCTACTGGAGAATACATCTTAGAAGTACAGATGGATTAACAAGCAATAAAAAAATATAGACATCAAATAGTGTAAATAAAGGACAAACAATTTTAAAATGCTCCTTGGATGATTCATTTGTGGGATATAAAAAAAAAGTATGAAACTAATATCCAAGACCAGGAAAAATGCGCCAGGAGGACTGGTCAATAGTTGGAAATTATCACAAGGGTGTAGGGGGTGGAGGTAGTTAAGATAGAGGGGGATCCATTATGACAACATTAGTTGTAAATAATCACTCTGGAAAAGAATTGAGTATAGAAAGTAGGTAAAGGGATTTACACGATAACCTTTAAGCATCTGTATTGCAAACCATAATGCCTAAAATGAGATAGAGAACGAGGAAGAGAGAAGTGAGTTACCTGCCATAGAGTCAGGCAGGGGTGAGGGGTGGTTTCCGGGAGTGGGAAGAAACTGGAGACACTGGTGCTAGAAAAGTACACTGGTGGAAGGATGAGTGTTGGAACATTGTATGACTGAAACCCAATCATGAACAGCTTTGTAGTGCTCTATTTCATGGTGATTCAATAAAAAAAATTGGTATTAAGATAAATAAATAAAAATAAAAATGCTCCTTGGATGGGCGTGGAAACATTGTATGACTTAAACCCAACCATGAATAACTTTGCAACTGTCTATCTCAAGTTATTGATTTAAAAACCTCCTGAGGGGGGGCGGAGTGATAGCACAACGGGTAGGGCGTTTTCCTTGCATGAGGCTGACCTGGGTTCGATCCCCGGCATCCCATATGGTCCCCCAAGCACTGCCAGTAATAATTCCTGAGTGCAGAGCCAGGAATAATCCCTGAGCATCACTGGGTGTGACCCAAAAACCAAAAAAAAGCCTCCTAAATAAAAAGCAAGTGATAATGATAATATAGTGATGAAAATGAAATAGTCACATAGGTGGGTTTGAAGCAAAAGGACAGACTGTCCAGATTTTTTTTGCAAGAGGAGGCAGAAGAAAAAAAAATGGGGATGACATTGGTGCAATGGCTAGAACTTTCCAAAGGTCTGTATATTCTTGAGGAGGAGGAACTTGGTGGATAGGAAGGATCATTGTTCATGTACAAGAAGTGTGTTAATAATTGGTGGAGTTTGCTCTGCCCCAACAAATGAGCTGAGCGGGAACCATTTGCCCCATCTACACAAAAAATTCTGGATAGTTCTCTACCTACCACAGCCCTTCCTCCAAGCCTCAAGAATTGGCTGTAGCCTATACTTCTATTTTCTTCCCCTTCTATCATATATATGTACATATACATACATATAATATGTACACATATATATGTTCATATATGTGTTCACTTGGAGGCATGTGTGTGTGTGTGTGTGTGTCTATATGCTATCTTGAGTACCACTGGGGCCAGTTTTACTATGGGAAATTTTAGTAATGAGGTGCAAAGTATTTTTCATGTTGCAGTTTTTTGTCTCAGGAAAGGAGCCTGATGGGATTAGCCACAACACTACTGCAGTTTGTAATAATGATGTGATCACAAGTTTGGCCATCATGCAAGGTGAAAATTGACAATTTCTTTGTTATAAATCAGGTATTAGGGCAAGCATAAAGTATTTATGCCCTATTTTAATATCAATGAGATCTACATTTTTCTCATTAACTTAAATAGATTTCAAGGTTATCCTAATAATAAATATAACTCTAGATGCAAATCCTATGCTGTCACTTTCCGTTGATCATCTTTTTCATAGCAGCATTCATGTTCACAAAAGCTCACAGCTATTTTTACTTTGTACCTTTTCATGTTTTCCCAAATGTCCCTCTCTTTTTTCCTTTATTTACTTCCCTAATTTTTTGGCAGCAACTACTGTTTTGTATATAGGGGTAAACTTTTTTTCCCCCAATTTTTGCCTGGTGCAGAGGTTAAACTGACAATACACACAATTTCTCTTTTCAGAAGTTTTGAATACTGAATTTCACTCGGTACTCATGCAGAAAATGACTTCTCTCCTGTTGATTCTATATCTCAATAATCAACAACTAGGTCATTTATATATACTGGGTCATTGGCAAATACTTGTTTTCCCAGGAGAAACTAAATTTATAACTCCTTTCATGTATGTGTATAAATTGTTCTAAAACATGTTTCTTTTGGAAGATTGTTTCTGAGACTTTTGCTGGGTAGGGGGTATGCAGGTGGCATATTCATATTGGTCTATGAAATTAGGGTCAACTTGGTTTAGAAAATAATGTATAATATAACCCCTCGGCCAAAACAGAAACTTACTTTACTCAGACACTTGGATTCTGAATCTCAAGGACTAATAGGAATTCTTGGGTTAAAAGTAAGAGAATGTAATATCTCCCTTAATGTATAAAAAGTATCAAGCTTCCACATTGATACTTTGTGTTAAGAATAGCTAAGATTTGAAAATTCCTATCTAGTAATGCATTTGTTGATCAAACAGTTATAAAAGAATATTTCATGTTCCAGATCCATGGTTAAAGCTGGGAATGCAAAGGACAAGACTCAAGATCAATATCTTGGAGCTGAAGAGATAGTACAGCATGTAAGGTACTTGCCTTGCATAAAACTGGCTCAAATTAAATGCCTGGAACCCCATAAAGTCCCTGACCCCTTCCAGGACTGGGAAGTCAAACTGAGTGCAAAGGCAGGAGTAAATCCTGAGCATAATTGGATGACACCCCCAAAATAAAGGAAAACAAACTAAAACAAAATAAAATCACTATCAGGTAGGGAGATGATGGATTTACAATCACTAAATACAGATAAATGCAATGATATATTTTAATAATATAATAGAAGTAGATTTGTGCTGGAGGTTTGTTATGGTGGGACACAGAGAATCATGCATGACTCATGTAAATATGTATGTGATGATAAAGCACTTAGAAAGTTTTAAAAATAGACATTCCTTCACCTTTTCTTCACCACTCCCAGAAAATGATTAGTTTTTTAAGTTGTTTTCCTTCCCAGCTTTTTACCCAGATACATGTTTTTTTGAAAATATTGTATAAAATGTAATTACATATATTTTCATGCACCACATACCCTTTTAAAATGGCTTTTTAAGGGTTCATTGAGAAGCTTTGACATAAGCAACAGAACCATTTTCTCCTGTTGCTGAGCATTTTTTTGTGTTTCCACTATTATGCTACTATGAGCAATTCTGGATGAAGAATTTTGTGCATTTTTTTAATGATTTTAGCTTTTTATTAGAAAAATTTCCAAAAGTTGTATTACTGGTTGAAACTACAGATGCATTTTGTGACTCTGGTTTACTGATACAATTTCCAGCATTAGTTTAATTCATTTATAGCTACAACAATATTTTGAGTGGATGAGTTATAACTTTATTGCACTCTCTAAAAAGAAATTACATTTTAATATTATTATTTTTACCTTGCTAGATTAAAAATCCGCATTAAAATCATAACTTTAATTTTCTGTCAACTCACTATGTTCTATGCTCTGCATTGTTTTATAATTCCCTTTC